TTTATCTCCAGACGATAGCACATAACAGGTCTCTGCCAATGTTTGAAGAAACAGAAAGAAATAAGGAAGCAACAAGAAGGAAGAGAGGAAAGAACAGAGAGAGTTTGAGCTTTAGTTTCCTCTAACTGAGTGCCTTCCATTTGGTCTTAACATCTTCCCTAAAAGGCATTTAAAATACTCTTTCCATTTGAAAACAGGGGCTGGAGTGGCCAGTGAGTCCCTGTATTCCTTCTTTCAAGGTTCTAAGTCTGATAAATTGTATTTGGTTTTGTTTGTTTACTTAGGAAGCCTGTCTTTGAACATTCTTCCATTTGGCTTCATCCCCAGAACAAATAGCCCTCATCAGTACCTGAACACACAACGCAGGTTCCACTCCCTGCTTCGGCACATCCTAAGGCATTAATTTACCCCGTCCTGGCTGGCCCAAACACAACCCATCCAATAAGGCTTTTTTATTTTTTTTTTTTAAGTTGGCTGTTTATATAACTTCCTCTTCTTTAATTTTTATATTAGGCGTTTCTGGAGGAGAGGCTGATGTCAGAGGGCCTCCTTCCAGATGCTGTTTTGAAATCCGTGTAACCATGGCATTGCTGGAGGCTGCAGAGTTCATCTGGGCCAACTGAGTCACGCCTAGGTGCAGGACCACTCTGGCCAGGGGAGGGAGGCCGTCAGGGCAGGGACTAGAGAGTCCCTGTGAGAAGGGAGGAGTGGGTGTGGGCGATGGAGTATTCTGAGCTTCTGCAGGAAGGAGATGAGGATCTGCTGTCGCCTTTGACCTTGCTGACCTGGCACCTTTGATTACAGGACTTGCTTAGACAACTGAAACCCTCCCTTGCTTAGAATTCACTCTTGGATCTTTAAGGAGTACCCATGCTCTTTTAAAAAAGAACAAGAGCGCTCAGGTTTTGAGCTGGACAGTGCCTCTCTCTGTTGTCCCAGTTCATCCCTGCCTCAGACTCGACTCCTCCGTGCTCATCACCTCTTCTGCCACCCCCAGCAAACTTGTCCAAGCCCCTGTGAGCTCCTGCAAGTCCCGGTGAGCCCGTACCCCTCTACTCATTCCCATGTCTTACCACCACCCAGACTTGTTTCCTGGAATATCCTGCTTTCAACAGCCACCTCCCCCAGGACACTGCTCCCCACACTGTCCAACCTCCTAGAGCACCCATGATTTCCCTGACATGGCTGTGCCTGCGTTTTCCTGTATCAGAAATGTTTTGTCTCTGTCTCCGTCATCATCCTGTGAGCACCATCAACTAGAACTCCGCACACTGTCCAGCACATTGAAGGGGCTCCATAAATGTGATTGAATTCATTAAGTACTTAATTCAGGAATTAAGTTTTACTTAATTCATTAAGTACTTAATTCCGGAACTAAGTTTTACTTAATTCATTCAGAATTACTTAATTCATTAAGTACTCAGATCCGGAACAAGTAATCTTAATAAACATTTATAGAACTCTCCACTTCAAATACACAAAATATACACTCTCATCACACCTACTCACAGGTTTAAATGAAATATTGGTTGGTTGCTTGTTTGTTATTTTCTTCCCTCATTTTTTCCTGTCTCCATTATGAAGCACAATTATCGGCATAAAAGAGGTTTTCAATACCCATTTTTAGACTGCATTCTAGCCCGGGCAATAAAGCAACACTCCCGTTCTCTCGCCCTTTCTCTTCCTCTTTCTTCCTCTCCTTCATTTTTTTTTTCTTTCTTTTTTTCTCTCTTTCATTCAAAAAAAAAAAAAAGTACTTAATTCCTCAGAATTAGTCCCCCCATGCTAAAACAGAAATAATAGTAATCATAATATTTATCAATTACTATGTGCACTGTTCTGTTGTAGGTGAATTTTCTCATGTAAATGCCTATAACATTATCCTTATAAAATCCATATGAGATTTGTACTATTTTTGACATTCTCCATTTAACAGGTTAGGAAACTGAGGCACAGAGAGGTAAGGTGGAATTGTCTAGGATTACACAGCTGGTAACTGAGAAAGTCAGACCACACCCAGGTAGTCAGATTAATGAGCCACACCCCTAACCCCTATCCCATACTGCCCTTCAGAAATAGCAATACTGCTGTTATTATAATATTTATATTTGATAATATCCATCATTAACATATTATACTATCTTCCTCCCAAGGTTTGGGGGAAAGGGGGATGAGATAAGAGTTGTGAAAACATTTTTAAAACCAAAATATGGACCAGGTGCTGTGGCTCATGACTGTAATCCAAGGCAGGCAGATTAATTGAGGTTAGGAGTTCAAAACCAGCTTCGTCAACATGGTGAAACCCCGTCTCTACCAAAAATATTTTTTAAATTAGCTGGGCGTGGTAGTGAGTGCCTGTAATCCCAGCTACTCTGGAGGCTGAGGCAGGAGAATTGCTTGAACCTGGGAGGCGGAGGCTGCAGTGAGCTGAGATCGCACCACTGCACTCTAGCCTGGGCGACAAAGCAAGACTCCATCTCAAAAAAAAAAAAAAAAAATGTGGTGCACATGTGAATCACAAAGAGAGGAAAAGGTGAAGTTTGCTCTTTCCGCTTCCCAGGTCCCTCCCCACGCCCACTCCTACCCTGTGCCGTGTAGCGGTTCCCAAGTATCCAGCCTCCTGCTGTGGAACAGGCACAAGGACAGAGTGCCAGATGTGCCCACCTGTGCCTAGTGGCCCAGCATAAGCATTCAGAACTCTCCTCTCCTGCCTTTGCCTGGAATTCTCTCCCATCCTCCCCTGCTTAGAACAACTGTGCACCCTCAGAGCACAACTCACCATTTTCCTGACCATTTCCCCAGCCTCTCGTGTTTTGCATGTTGGGACAGGGCACCTCCATCCCCCCGGTCCCCTCACTGGTGGCCTGGGTTACTGCTGCTGTCCCCCTCGCTGGTGGCCTGGGTTACTGGTCCCCCTCGCTGGTGGCCTGGGTTACTGGTCCCCCTCGCTGGTGGCCTGGGTTACTGCTGCGGTCCCCCTTGCTGGTCTCCCTGCACACCATTCTCCACTTGGCACTCAGAGCGCTCCTTTTAAAACACCAATCTGAGCATGTCACTTTCCTACTCAAAATCCTCCAGTGGCTTCCAGTCCTTCATAGAATACGATTCCAAGTCCTCGCTGCAGCCCTCGTTCTGGTCCCTGGTACCACCTCAACTTGGTCTTCTGCGTCCTCCTCTTCCCTCTCTGCCCCAGGCATATGGGTCTCCTTGATGCTCCCAAGCACACTCTTGCTTCCTGTCTTCGCGCATGCTGTTCCCTCTGCCTGGAATGCCCCGCCCCAGGTGGTCATGTGATGCACGCTTCCACTTCAGGTCTTGCCCAAATGTCACATCTTTAGGGAAGCCTTTGTGATACCCTTTTCAAAAAGGGCAGTAACCCCTTCTCATCACTCTCTATCCCCTTACCCTGCTTAACATTTCTTCAGAGCCCTTTGCTATTTAATATTATATATCAAGTTATTATCTTCATCCCCATATCAGAATAAAAGTTGCAACAGGGCAAGGGCTGTCTGTTTCACTCAATCCCATGCCTGGCTTAAGTATTAACTGAATGAAGGAAGGAATGACAGCCTCCCAGGGACGTGCTCTTTTTATCCTTTGAGGAGCTTCCTACACTCATCTCATAATGTATTTTTTACTCTATTTTAAGTAAGTTGTTTCAGGGCAGAGACTGGACCCCCACTGTGCCTTGCAGATAATAGGGCTCAGGAAATACTTACGATATTAAGTGGAAGCAAGTGAATAATTCATTCTAGGATTCTGCTGAGGTATTGAAATAATTTTTGCATTTCATTTATGTGAGCACTAATCTAGACACATTCATAATGTCACTAATAAATTTGACTCTTGGTTGGTAAACTGGATTTTTTCACATCATTAATGGCAGCCTGGGAGCCTGGTGAGCGTCCCCAAACCCACTGGGCTGCTGGCTTCTCTTTCTACCCTATCAAGTGAGCTCAGGGCGTATTAATGGAAGTCGCATCATGGGTTACAGAGCACACTGGGCTGGGTGAGGCCCCTGAGGATGCTGTGGGTCCCTTAAGGCCCTTAACACATATGTTGTTTATTGTATGTCTTAAGAAGTCATTTCCCTCCTGAAGAAGGTAAGTTGTACAGAGATGACAGACCCCTTTCAAAGGAACTGGAGTGCCTTCCCTATTTATATTCACAGCCTGGTAGTAGGCTATAGGAGAAACGTCTCTATGTTGGCCCTTCACTGAGTTACCAGCACTGACCTCAGGGTTCAGGGCCATTTGGACCCTTGAGAAATCTCACTTTTGATAGAAGGCACTGTACTTAATAGGGAATAGTTTGACAGTAAACTCTTCTCATCAGTCTAGATTTCTGATATTCTGCAATCTCCATCTTATCATGATGACAAAAATTGAAATGTGATATCACAGAAAGGTAAACGTTCTGAATTTTGGCAGGCCCCTAATACTGCTTATTTCCCCTCCCCTATTGATGGCTCCACTTGCTATCTTCAGCACCCACACTTAGGTTGAAACTGGCAGAGGGCACCTGGAAATGTTCACAGTCAGTGTTCAGAGAACGAAGTCACTCATCTGGTACCCCTTACCCTGCTTGACATAAGGCCTCCTCCTCTGCCCAGGCACTATAATCTGTTTCTATGAGTCTACAAGAAAGATGTGAGTTGACCTGCCTATGGTATGCTCTCTAGTGCCTGTGTAGACACAAGAGCTTCCCAGTATATTGACTACGGCATCTGGCATGTTTCCATGAGGGATCTAGGCTCAGTTTACCTTGGAGTGTCACAGTGCTTTACTGAAACTCTCAAGTAAGAGTGTTATCTGAGCCCAATTCACTCCCACGCTCATTGTTACAGTTCCAGTGGGCCCTGCCTCAACTTCTGCCTTGCTCTCTTTCAGAATTATAAGTCTGCAGCTTCCTCATTTTTGAATCGATGGATTCAAAGACTTTAATTCACAGCACCAGAAACCAACTGCAGGCTCTTTCAGCCCCACAAAGCCTGGGCATACCTTCATGAAGAATATCCTCCTACAGGTCTTGCCTCGATCACTCCCAGCTGCTTGCAGTTGAGCAGCCTCAGAGGCCAGTGCTAGATCAGGAATGCTGCTTGGCCCAGCCTCCGACGTGTCTGCCAGCTGCACAGATGAGTGGAAAATTCCCTCCTTGCCCTGGGCCAAGGAGATCTCAAAGGGATCAGGATATTTCTCATCAGGGCTAGAACCATCGTCACTGGTCTTAGCATTACAGAGCATCAGGGACCTGGAGATGGACCGAAATTTTGCAGATTTTCTGCTCTTTCCAGCGCGGCTGTGTGATTCCATCCTCAAAGGGGAAGTGAAGTTGCCTTTCTTCCTTTCCTGGTCTCTGGCCCTTGGCTGACGGGTGGCCACTGGACAAGGCTTAGCTGCCACTTCATGAGTCCCTAGAGGAAAGAGGAAACGGGAAGAAGCAATGTGACTTGCTGCTGACAAGCGGAGCTGGACACAAGTCCTGGATCTGAGCCATGGGTTCCTGGTGCCCGTGAAGCAGGACAGGTGGGCAGACTGTCCCTCAAGATCACTGGCCCTTCCCGTGTGCCAGCCAAATGGGGCTCACTTAACCCTGTGGTTAATGCCACTCTGCTCCTAGGATAATGGAGACCCAGCCCCAGAGCTTCTCATTTTACAAGACAGGGGAATTGAGGTGCAGAGAGGGAAAGTATTAACCCAAGGCACTAGCAGAAGAGCCGGTAGTCGGTCACAGGAGACAGTTTAGGGATCATAGAGACCAGTGCTCTGTGAGGTTTTTAAACTTGGAAGCCATTCTTTAAACAGAAGTGTGCAGTGAACTCCAGTCTAGAGAGCAGACCAAAGACAGGAAAACTGGAGACTAAGTTCCACCTGCCTGGTCCCCTCGGTCACCCTTCGTGACTCCTGTAGCATCTGCAAAGAAGCCCCAGAATCCATGGAGCTGAGTCTGAAGACCACTGATATCTTACGTCCTCCACTGACAGATGACGAACCCAAGACTAGGAAGATTGGAAGTCTTACCCAACACTGACCTGTCAGAATTGATGTGAGCATAAAAGAAGGCAACACTTGGCAATTGCCCGCCAAAGGGATGAGCGGATAACAGGCTCTCGGCAAACATGCGTGTCTTTCTCCAGGCCTAAGGTCAAACATTTGGCCAGGGTCACAGTTAGGCCCAGGAGCCCCTGCTTCATCGTGTGTCCACTGAGTCAGACTCTCACAGCCAGAGAGGCCAGAGATGGGTTTTCCAGCCAGGCCAACAGCCTGGCTCGGCTCCACCAAGAGGACCCCCCCATGGATTCAGTTTCCATGAAGCAGGTGGTGAAAGGGGCCCTGACGCTGTATCCAAAAAAGTTCTGACTCAGGCCTGAGCCACAAAAGAGACACTGTTGCCGGAACAAGAAACTGTGGGATGCGCTTGGCCCACCACTGTACTGCTGTGTGCACATCCAGTATTGAATAAGAAATACCAGATGCCTCACAACATTTCATTGCATCAAAACTCTTTCACATATCCCCAGAGAGAAAATGTTTTCAACACTCAAGACTGCTCTTCAGCACTCAGACTGCACACATTTATTGTTTTCTGTGTTCGCTCTTTATCAATTTATTCACCGACCATCACAGCAATTCATAGCAATAAACAAAAATGTATGAATAACGGATTGAAAGTCTACTATATATCAGGCACTGTGCTTGATGCTTTCATATAAATTAATTCAGTGTGGATCCATTTTATCAAGCGCCCTCTTGTCAACATGCCAAAGTTTTGCACCCTAGGTTCTTCCATGTCAAATGATAGTAAAACCCCAATCACAGACGAATCCAAACCTCTGCAGAGTTTATGCCTGGCTGTGGATCTCTAAGCCTTGAAGAAGGCACTCTCACTCCTGTACAGGCTGGTCCCATAAAACATTCATGGCCACCAACTGGGCCTCCAGCTCTGGCCAGCAGTGGTAGTGTTTCAGTAATTCGCTTGAGAACACATTTCCAACAATGTCTATTTCAAAACTTCACTGTGGTGCGCCGGGCATTGTTCTCATTGCTTTACTATTTAGTTCCATAAACTCTATGGTAGGCTCCGTCAATACCCTCATTTTACAGAAGAGATACAGAGGCACAGGGAGGTTGGATGACTTTCCCAAGATCACACAGCTGGAACTCAGTGAAAGCAGGAATCAAACCAAGCGATGTGGCTCTGAAGTCTGCATGCAGCACCCTGCCTCTACCTTCTTACAGAGTATTGCCTGTCTCAGCTTTAGCCTCAGTCTCTTCCTGTGTCCTGGATCTTTATCCTTAACACATACACACGTTCAAACATTTCCTCCCTTTCAAACACCGCACGTTAACTCCATGTCCTCCTCTTGCCGCTTGCTTTTCTTTCTTTTTTTTTTTTTTTTGAGATGGAGTTTTTCTCTTGTTACCCAGGCTGGAGTGCAATGGCGCGATCTCGGCTCACTGCAACCTCTGCCTCCGAGTTCAAACGATTCTTCTGCCTCGGCCTCCCGAGTAGCTGGGACCACAGGCACGCGCCACCATGCCCAGCTAATTTTTTGTATTTTTAGTAGAGACGGGGTTTCACCATGTTGACCAGGATGGTCTCGATCTCTTGACCTCGTGATCCACCTGCCTCGGCCTCCCAAAGTGCTGGGATTACAGGCGTGAGCCGCCGCGCCCGGCGCCACTTGCTTTTCTTGTATCCCTTTCGTGTCTTCCTGAGCAAACGTTCCGCACTTTGCACTTCTCTCCTCATGCTTCCCTCCTCTTCAAGCCTTAGCCCACAGCGTCTGCTTCCTTTTCCTAGAGCCACTGACACTGTTTTATCAGGTCTGCCTTTTAAGAAACCCAAAGCTATGAACCGAAGTCCAGAGACCGCCATCTGCTTGGTTAAAAACCTTGCTGCATTCTGAGAGAATGTGTTAACCAGTATATCAATGCTCAGATCCGCTGGCAGAAGAATACGTAGATCTCAAGCTTTTAGAGTATTTTTCTTTTTCACCTCATTATTGCCTTGTTCCAGACGTCACCTTCCAAATGTGAGTGGGAATGTTCCCCTGCCTCCATCCCCAACACAAGAGTTTCTCTGCATCCCGCCAATTCGGTTTCCCAAAATGACTGACTCTCCACACCAATCTGGCTATAAATAATACGTCCAAACTTCTTTCCATTTTGATCACTTCCTTAGGAGTTCCTATAGTTCACCAGGGTTTCACGGGAAGAGGTGTGTGTGTGTGTGTGTGTGTGTGTGTGTGTGTGTGTGTGTTGGTCACAGCTAACACTGGTCCATTAGGCATTTGGAAATTTGTAAGATGATCAGTGCTGTGTTAAAATCCTTCTGCACTTTGCTGGTGCTGAACAGGACAGATATAAACATGGGGTTGCTGAGGGCCACCACGTAGAGAGGCTGCCTGAGAGTGAAGCCAACACAGAAGGTCCAGAACTCACAGAGGTGGGGAGAGAAGTGGAGGTAAAGGAAGGAGGACAGAGGGACAATCTGAGAGAAGCGGAGTTCAGATGTTATCATATGAGCGTCTGGATCCAGGTGTGCCCGAAACCACATCAACCTATGCAGTTATGCCAACCAATAGATTCCTCTTTTGCTTAAAAAAAAAACACCCTCCTGGAATAGTGGTTCTTCTCTGTGCTGTTGCTGACATAAAGCATGGAAAAGAATGACATCCAAGGGCCAAGAGGGTTTTTGAAACTCCCTTATCCCACCCCAAGCCAGAAGAGAAGCCAGTCATACCTACTCAAGGCCTCAACTCTACCCCCTCCATCCCCTAGTGCCAAGCTCTGGCATAACAGCCTCTTGAATTCCTGTCCCACCAAGAATTGCCACAGTCTGCATGGGTTCTCGGAAAGAAAACCCAATTCCCTTTCTCTTCCACATCCTCTCCCAATGTATAATAATTGTTGGGTAAGAGCCAGACCATTCACTAGGCCTTTTCCAGGACAAAAAAATCATCGAGGACCTTTGGGACTAGGTGCAAGGCTGGGTGCTTTACTCAGTGGTAGAATAGTTGGCTACATGCAGTATTTAGAAAACAGAGGGGTCAAATTCCTGGGTGGAAACTGTGCTAATCCTAATGCACCATCTGCGGGAGTGTCTGATGGGTACTGGCAGCTTTGAAAAAATAAGCTATTCCCCAGAGACCCCCCACTTCCATGACCTGGGCTCTCACGTGGGACGGCAGGGGCCATGGGATGCAAGTTGGCAATGCACCAGCGTCAAGGCATTAACCCTTTGGTTAAGAGCGAAGACAGTTTTCAAAATGACCCTTTCATTATAGAAAATGTTTCTTTCTTTTCTTTTTTTTTTTTTTAAAGAAGAAGGAAAAAAGGAAGAGAACAATTGCAAAAGAGCTGGAGTGGAGGAGCCAGAATTGAACTTCTGTGGGAAGACTGCCTTCCCTCCAGGCCTGGCACCGAGAGAGAGGAAGGGGGAGAGAGGAGAGTGAATAATTGAAAACACAGTGCCGCAGTCACATGGTTCAGCTTAGCTTCAGTAATTGAGCTCAGGACATTGGAACCAGCTATTGCTCCCGAATGGAACCAAATGTCAGCAGAGCTTGGGGACAAGCCTGTGCCATTCCTCCAGCCCAGCTGCCTTCGAAAGGTTGGAACTAATGAGCTTTCCCTTATTTTTCCCCAGGCTCTCTGACAACTTGTCAAACTCTTGCCAGATTTTCTCTGCCTCTGGTGGACCCGCCACAAGACGGCCTTGTGGGTCTTCTCCAGAGGATTTTGGGGGAAGCACAATGAAGGTCTCTAACACAGCTTCGTGAATGCAATCAGTTACTTTTACTTCCCAGCAGAAAAACTGAGACGTTCTGCAACTCCGCAGAAAACTGCTCTCCAACTCCCTGGAGGCTTCCCCACGCCACCCCAACTGTGCTAGGGTATTTGCTCTTTAGTTATATTCCACTGAATACCAGATCTGGGAGGGGTCTCCCCACCACATCTTAGGTAAGGACATTGGGCCAAATAGAGGGACAGGGCAGACTCATCATCACAGTTACCAGGATATGTTTTTACGATGGCAGAGCTGACGTTCACTTAGAACATGCAGAGCTGAAAGGAGAGAGCTGAATTGCAAAGAAATGGTTAGTTCCTCCTCTTTCAAGAAGTTCAAAAACCTTTCAGAATATGTGCTGTGAAGCAGGATCAGTTAGTCTGTCCCTCCCTTCCTACTTCCTTCCTTCCTTTTCGTTTTTTTTCCTTCGGCAAGCACTTGTTGAGAAACTGTTATGTGCCTGTTTTTGTGCTAAGCAAAGCTAACCTACTGGAGGAAAGGCCACAGTATTTCCATCTGGATAAAATACATTAAACTCCCTGGAGATCTTTGGGAGGGTAAATAACCATATGGAGCAAGGGGAACTAGCTGGTAAAATGTGTTTCAAATTGCTGAATTCTC